CTGGTAATTAGCTGATTAAGATGTGCTTGAGACTGTGCTGGATTCTGGCCCTTAAGGTCCGGAATTGGGGAACCCTGCCTTAATGGTTCCTTCATTGTTAAACACCAACACCTGTTCCACGTCTAGCCATTATCATTCGTACCTGCATTTGCCCTGTGTTCTTGTTGGTCGCTGTGTTTGTTCCCCTGCTTATTACTTGAATGTGAAGGTGTTGTCTGTAGTACATTGTGTGCTTCCTTCAGCAGGTCCCTGTGTTTGGTGGTCTTGGTTCCTGCTACTTTAATTGTCCTGCCTTTTGTATTGATCCCTCGTGGTCCTTTATGGTTCCCAGTTCCGTTGCTAATAAATCTCCCCAAGCTGCCAAACCGGTCTGTGGATTGTCCCTGACTGTGCTCATGTGACACGTTTAGCTCTTGTGACACACTTTGTGTTATCAAAGATTTAAGCTGCTTCACAAGTGCAGCAGGTATCTTATCAGTAAATATAGACAATGAAATACATGTCTATTAAAAATGGATCAAACTTCTTTCAGATGTAAATTTCCATCACAATGGGAAGCCTCAGCTTAAATCAAAAAGGTGGACAGCAGCTGGAAGACAAAAATCCCAGCGACTCTCTTTCTGTTTAATGCGTTTATTTGTCAACATTGATGGTTTCCAATAAGTGCTGTTCTTGCTGATTGTTGCAGCTATTCTTGCAGAGGGGTTTAATGATTGTCATCATCTCTCACCAAAATGTGTGCACAATTTCACGGCGTTAACCCTGGCAGTAAACGGCACAGAATCACACCCTTTCGCCTTATACTGGCTTGATGTGTTGACTTTCCTTTTATATAAGTGGGTTGTGAGATTAAAACCGCCGGCTCTGTCAGATAAGCCCGCACTGTTGTGGTGCTTGTGAGTTCGGCTCGCGTCCAACGATAAAGGCTCCGTTCTCCTGAGATAAGAGCCCCGCCATCAAGGGATGGAATTTCCAGGCCAAGCAAACGGAAACGGCTTCCAGTAAGATAAACTAAATTAGCAGGGGCTGCTTGAAGGAAAACGAAACCTCAGGCTAAAACTATACAAACAGAATACGAACGGAAAACATGCTGGTGGCTCATGATGGACTGGCGTGCCCCGAGAGAGACCCCCCCCCCCCCCCCGCCGCCTTGGGTACAGAACATGGATGGATGAGTAGAATCGGAGAGGGAGGTGGGTAACGAGTCAGAGGATAACGAGCTAGTTTAGAGATAAACAGCTTCTGCTTCCACGCTTCTCTCTTCTCTTTCCGTCTCCCCTTGAATATCCGCCCGGCCGCTGTGATAGTTCATTAATCTGCTTATACGTACCAGCAGGACGACATTAGATTGCCAGACGCTGCAGTCACGTCTCTATTTTGTCAGATGTGGCCAGCTAACCTAAGCACAAGAACAGGATACACAAAGGAGTGTTAGAGGTGGGTAGTTCAGGTCCACAGAGTGAAAGTCCAGACCAAGATTTTGTTTCAACCACCCAGTTGGGACTCACAGACAGTCCACACTGACACTGCTGTCTGAGGACACCTGTAGACCCGGGGACTCACATACGGTCCACATTGTTGCTCCCTGCCAGACAATCCATATTTTTGCTCCCAGCTGTGAGGGAGCAAAAACATGGACTGTCCGTGGATCCCCGAGGACCGGATTGGGAAACACTGCCATAGACCAGAAGTCCTCATATCTTTTTGAGTGACCTGAGGAAAAGTTAAGTTAGAGACCAGTGGCTAAAGCTGGAAAACACTGAGGAGGGCGCCGATTTTTATCCAGCTTTTATAGATCAGAAGAGGAGTCCTAATCACATCTGTGGATGACAGTTTAGCCCTGCGTATTTGATACCTTTCCAGATGTGCAGCATGTGAGAGGTGCACTTGGTAATGGGGCGATTACCCGCAGGAGCTGGCTGCAGAAAGGCACAGAGTGTGCTGTGTGCTGCAGGCAAGCCTCCCATCCTGTCAGATCCAGTAGATGGGAAGTGGTGAAGCATCTGAAAGCACAAACTATTTCTGCTGCTGCCCCCTGCTGGAATTCCAAGAAGTTGCAGGCACAAAAGGAAAAGCAGTTGTTTGATCTATCCAGTGATGGTTCTAACTCGTATGGCGCCGTGAGCGAACCCCCCTCAGCCTCCCAAAGGTGCAAACAGCATTGATATACCATCAATGATCCTCAGAGTCCATCACTGTACCTTAAAAGGTACATTTACCAACAGCTATAATTTTATATTTTTACCCTTCTTTCTGAGAGTGCGGGCTCACGCAAGAAATCTTATGGCAAATCTATAATATTCCATTATAAACCTAAAAGTAGCTAACTCAGAAGTGTCAAGGTAGTTTGGCAACTCTACAGACGACAAGGCAATAAAACTGTGACATTAATATAAATGTGTCTGCATGTGCATGCGGACTTGGCCTCGAATTGAAAATCTCACAATCGGTGACCCTGTATCTATTTCTCTCATTTATTTTCCTGCCACTTTTGTGCTTCTGACACAAAGTGTAATTTAAGGAAAGCAGCAGATTCGCCATAAATTGACAGAACGAGGCCTGACTGGGAAGTATGACCTCCTACTGCATGGAGTCGCTGTTCGGTAGCCGATACTGTGTACAATATTCAAAGCCCATACCAAGCTACATATCAAGTAGCATTCAGTAATAGAGTTTTTGACTCTAGAAGATTGCATGGCAGTCAAAATTCATAGGGGTGTGACTTACATGGAATTTCTGAGTAAAGGGATGACGGTGAATTCCAGAAGGTACTGTGAAACCTTCTGAGCACTCAAGCGAAGCATCTGCGGAATCGGGCCTCAAAGAAAAACTTTTCTTTTGCATCACAACAATGCAAGGCCGCACTGCAGTGGACAAACCAAGGAGGCAGTGATGAGTCTGAGATTCACAATCGTTCCTTGCAGCCCGGATTTTTCTGGTTGTTCCCAAAACTGAAGGAGACGCTGAACTGACGACATTTTTTTCTTGGATGGAGATCGGAAACCAACCAGAAACTTTCAAGATGGACAGAATGAAAAAATGCGTTTGGAAAAATGTCTAGCAGTAAATGGGTACTAAGCTGAAAAATAAGTTTACAATGTTTAAGTGAAATAAATTTCCTTCATTTCGAAATGACCTTAATCATTTTATATTATTGGAAACTTATTTTATACATTTGGAGACCTTACCTATCACTCAGTGCTCGTACCTATAATTGCAGTTACAGTATTGCGTGTCAGAGAGACTGCGGCGCACGTGAGCCCGAGCTGAACTGCAGCGTTTCAATGCTACTCCTCCTCTAGGGTTTAGCACCACCGTTGTGATCCTGAATCATCTAATATGCTGATCACTGGGGTCAAGAGCCAAGAGTCTGTCTGCCTGTAGCGCAAGATGTACACGAACCGTCTCTGAGTCTGCAGAGATCACCTCAGTGCTCACAGCATATATAAACATAAACCTGAATTTGAAGAGTCGTCCTAAGACTATCAAGATTATTAACTATCAAGGCTCATCTTTGCCGTTTATACTCCCTTTCAGTGAGACAGGTTAATGGAAATTAAATCGGTTTTTCTTGGTGATACATTATGCTCTCTGTCGTTCTGAAGGTGAAATTCAACAAAATAATTTCTCTGTCGTGTTGTCCATTAATCCCCGTTTTGCGTTTCGCACCGTAACTGCTTAAGTGCATCAATAAATCAGACAGAAGTAAATATACACGGCACGTTATAGAAGGTATACAAGACTTATATTCGGCAGATGTAGGCCTTTCAAACAGGCTAATTTGACAAGGATTCAGACTCTCACAGTCACGCAGGAAATTTTAATGCAAATTTATGTTATACCATTATAAACCCAGCGCCCGCACAAAAATGATTGTTTTTGACATCTGCGCGATCGGTCCTCCACGGAGCCCCTGAAGTCCCATAAGGTGATTTTTATTTTGCAGGAACAAGTTAATTATTTAATTTGTGTGCATAAGTTACTATAAAGATAACTTGTGCCCGCAAGACAATTTACTATAACTATCGTATGCGTCTCCAAGGACTTCAGATACATACAAAGACCATATGATGGTCAGAATTCATCTAATCAATTTTCATTTCCACATTAGAATTCCATACAATGATATTCTTGCTGCTCTTGTATCGGCGCTAAGTGTCAAGCGCTCATTTTCATGAGCATGCATTCTGTGCCAAAAACAACATTATTTAATAACAAACCAGTTATTATACCAGTTATATTTTGTCCAGGAAAGCATAGACTTCACTTTTTTCGTGCACAGAAATCTAAAGGAATGTTTCATTTTGTGCAGAGAATTGATATCAGCACTTTGCATTTCGTGGACAGAAGAAAGTCATTTCGTTCACAAAATGCATTTCATCAACTAAATAAATTCATTTTCTTGACGAAATGTATACCATGAATAATACACAGTCATGTCGTGGGCGAAATCAATAATGTCGTAATCACGTAATGCTTTTGTGGATCTATGACGTATTTCGTCCTATGCTGAGGAAAGGCACGGGGAAATTTATTTCGTCCCCAAAATAATTGATTCCGTTATTAAATAATGGTTTTTGCGGCACAGAACGTATTTTGTGCGCGAAAATGAGCGCTTTACAATAAAAGAGCAGCAGTAATTTCATTGCATAACATTACAATGTGAAAATAATACTTCATTAGCTGAATTCTGCCCATTATATGGTGTCTGTGAGTATCTGAAGTACTTAGAGATGCACACGAATTTATAATAAATAGGCTAACTTGTGTGCACAAGATTAAAAAAATCACCTTATGGGACTTCAGGGCCTCCGTAGTCTTCTCTGCCTCATTTCCACGTCCCGTCAGTAATATCAAAGCTAAACTTCCATAATGTGGTACTCAGGTAATCGACGGGCCAGATGCAATAGTTTGGTGATTACAACTCTGGCCACTAGGGGGAGGCACGAGTTCGTCTGACAGTCTGGCTAAAAAAAACAAAGCAGTACTTGGGAAGCGCATTTCGTTTTGAAGAGGTTTTTATTACCATATTTGCATAATACAGTATTCCGGAAGTGCCATACATTGCGTGTTTAAATTCACAGTTTGAGATGACAACATGTCATTACTGTTACACTGTCAACCAATGAGTCAACTGGAAATATAATTCAGAGAATTCAATACGAAGTTAATATACTTGCCTAATATTTGTGATATAAAATATGTAAAATAATGCATTAAAATACCAACAATGACCCTTTCAGTCAAGTCATTAGATAAAAAAAAAACCTTGCAGTATGTGTTTTAGTAACTGAAAAATATACCATTCAGACTGATCCGACAGTGCTGGGAGCTACAGAAAACCGTGGTATTTCTACAGAACTTCTAGAACCAATCAGAACCTACCAGATACTTCCAGATACAGATGCTTCTGGATAAAATGCTTCAACATTGCAACTTTGCATAAAATGCAGCGTAAAGTGCAAAGTCAGATTTATGGTCAGCAGATTTGAGTTTAAGAACAAGCAGCAACCACGACGCTTGACAGGACGCGTGGGGCGAAGCCACGTCGCCGCCCCGTCAGTCAAACCATGACCTCTTTTAGGATAACAATGCCCAGCTGCAGGTCAAAGCCGTCCATCCTTGGTCTACCGGTACGTGGAGACGTGGAACCCCCAAACCCAGATCCCACTTACCCTGCATCATCATGTCACAGTTTACATCCAGTGTTTTGTTTGTTGCTAAGACACATTTGTGTATATTCAAAGAAACACTATTAAGAACAATATATTTATTGCAGGCCTGTCAATTAAATGCAAATTTAGACTGCAAAATTTTGCTGCCAAATGCAAAATATCCCTCAACCTGGCTTAAAGGAGACGTTTAATCATGAGAGCTTTGGCTAAAAATTACCATGATGGTCACTGACAATCATACAGGTCACTCAAAAATACAATGAGCAAGCATCATTGGGACATGATAACAGCCTAGTCAATGGGAAACATATTCTACATAGTGTATAACTTTCGGTTCAGGTCCGGACTAATGGTCTAGGATTTACTGACGGACTAAGTACTGGTTCAACCATATCTTTAATATTCATCTTTCACCAATTGCAGAATCTCAGATTCTAACACTCTTCACTGGCACATAATCAACTAGTTATCAAATTCATAAATTGGTCACAGATCTTCTGCTGCACTTATATTGTTATTAAAGTATGTTTGTTAAAGAATCACAGAGGAATTTTGTTCAAATTAATTTTGAGCCACTTAATTGCACTTAACTGCCAACTGTGTCCCCGTCATCGCATTTGACGTATAACGGACATGTGCACTCACTCTGTGTGGCTCTTCCGCCAGAGCTCCCAGTGAGCGTAAATGGGAAAAGAAAGCACATAAATGTGTGAGAGTTTGTAAACATGCTTAAGACCAGTAAGACGGATTAGTGGGCATGTCAGATTATGAGGTTGTGTGATAAAACTGACAAGTATTCCCTTGCCATGTATTTAGCAAGTGGGAGTTGTACTTACAGAAAAATGTTCTGAAGGCAGAAGGAAAAACGATTGGTTCAAAGAGATAACCAATCAGATTGTAGAGGAGGTGGGTCCAAGCAACTAGAGTAGGCGGGACCTACGAATAAGATGTTTACAATTTGATTGGTTATCTCTCTGAACCAATCATTTTTCGTTCTGTTCTTAGAACATTTCTGTTGTGTAAGTAAAACTCCCACGAGCGTGTATTTATACTAAACCCATGTGGTTTAAGCAGCAGGAAAAATGAATGGCCCAGAAAATGTTAATAATATGAAAAACTATTTACTAAACCATGTTGAAAAAACCCTGAAAGAAAAACACATTTACATACAATGGTAAAAAAAATAATTCACATTTTATGGGTCTAAGATTACAAATGGTAAATACCGTGCAAGTGCAGCAAATATTTTTTTCTCCTAAGTGTTGGTCCAGTACGGTATCTTGGCAGTGCCATGTTTACCAGGGCAGAAGAGGTTCAGTACCTAACTGAAAAGGCACTATAGCAGGCCTCCTTCTAGGACTCAAACCTATAACTTTCAGGTTGTTGTGTATGTCAGCTGATACCAGAATAGGACCAGACTACCAGCCAAGCTCTGCAGCTATTCCAGGCCCACGTCACTGCGGGAGTGTTGCGCGCTGCATCGGCGCATTTGTTCTGTTCATTCAGAGCGGATGCAGCGCTCACGCTCGCTGGCGAAATTCGAGGCGGGGCCCGCAGTGGTGGGCTCACACCAGCAGGTGGCGCTTCTTGTGCAGCGCCAGGTGGTCGGAGCGGGAGAAGCTGCGCTCGCAGTCGGGGCACTGGAAGGGCTTGTCGCCGGTGTGCTTCCGCATGTGCCGGGTCAGCTCGTCCGAACGGGCAAACTTCCAGATGCAGCCTTCCCACATGCAGTGGTAGGGTTTCTCACCTGCGGAGCAGAGAGTTCGTGAGGCAACGTTCACAGTGACGAGAAAGCTGGGGTGGGGTCAGCTTACTGCCATTCCGCCTCTTTTCACTTGTTCTCTACATAAACAGCCCCCCCCAGCCCTGTTTCATTCTGATCCCTTACTCTCTGAATAGTCTTGTTTGATTTCTGTTTGATGCCTTCACCTCCCATTCCCTGACAGTCCTACACAAGGGGACCCCCCCCCCTCACTTCCTGTAACGTTGTCATTCCCAAACTCCGTGTCACGTCACGATCGCCGTGGTGTGACTGACCGGTGTGCGTCCGCCGGTGCGCCTTCAGGTGAGAGCTCTTGGTGTAGACCTTGCCGCAGCCCTCGTAGTCGCAGTGGTGACGTTTCTTCCTTCCGGGGGTTTCCTCGTGGATTGTGGGAGTCTTGGTGCTACGAGTGAACGGGAAGGGACTGTGCACCCTGGGGAGACTACAGTGGGGGGGGGGGTGGGTATTTCAGAATCAGACACTAGGTGGCAGCAGTGATTCTTTAAGCACAGCACAGGGTTACAGGTGGTTTGGAGATTACAACTGACAGGAAGAAGCAGCAAAGATTTTGGGACAATCCCAGAATACCGCCCTCCCCCACAGGGGGGGGTGTTTCCCAAAACTCAAACCACATGTTTGGTTTGTGGCCCCTGATTGGCCACAAACAGAGAGATGATACAGAGATATAGAGATGGCAGCCTTTTACTGAACATTCCTCTTCATTAAATTTCATTGCCCATTTGCATTGTATTTTTACATGTCTCAATGCTCAATATGTCATATTTAAATGTCTTTTTTAGACAAAGGGTTTCTGGCATCTCTGGGGGCGGCAGGTTAGCAGAAATCTCTCGTCAGTAGGTGGTGGACAGGTACAGGCCTGTCCTGGACAATTTGGCTCTTCTGTGGCAAATACCTCCAGTGTCAACAACATCACAAGACGCAGGAAGCACCTAAGTTGCAGCCACTGATGAAGATGGTTGTGTGTTTTGCGATCCCTCGCCCTCATCTAACTAGGGGATCTGGGAAAATCGGTTAATAATGTCTGTAGCCGGACTAACTCGCACCCCCCAGCAAACGGGACGAGATAGAAACAGTATCTGCGGCCCATCTGAGCAGGGGGTCACGGTCCACATGGCGTCGATGGAGTCGCACTGCGTCAGAGTCGTCCGGGGGTGTGAGGGAAGGGCGATGCGGTTTCACTCACTTCTTGTTGTCGATGGCTGAGGCCGCCATGATCTCAGAGCACATGGTGTCTTCACAGGGCTTCTGAGGCTTCTCATTGGCCGGCTCCGGTCTCAGGGACTTTGTCTGTAGTCCTTGGGGGTGACTAGGCGGCGAGTACGGGTCACGCTCTACTGCAGAACCAAGATATTTCCGTCCGATTAAAACACACACAATTACACACTTGAATTTACTACTTTACGTCATATTTCTTCCCCCAAGTAATATGCAACGGTAACATTTTATTGAGTTGGGCATTTAATGAATTGATTCATGTTCCTGAGTGTATCAGAGAAGCCATCTGGGATTTCAGGACGAGTTTGCCTCAAGTGATGTCCTCCCAGGCTCCAAACGACGCTGATAACGGCATTTTCCCTTATCAGTGCTTGCTATCTCTAAGCTCTGACAGCTGGCAATAAACTTTGTGAACAAATAGCCAAGAGTTCAAGACGTTTTACTGGCCTTGAGCAACAAAATGCTGAGGAATGCTTTCTCATTTCGGGACGCTGCGCATTTATTAAGATGTATTTATATCTCTAAGTTTTGGCATGAATGGACAACGGAATGTTTAACTGGTTTAATGTACCCCGTTGCACTATTTTTTACTGTCTTGCCTTGCATTGTACTGTTGTTTGTCCTGTATCTCGCCGCCTGTCCCGTTTCGCGCCGCCTGTCCCGCGTCGCGCCGCCTGTCCCGTTTCGCGCCGCCTGTCCCGCGTCGCGCCGCCTGTCCCGTTTCGCGCCGCCTGTCCCGTGTCGCGCCGCCTGTCCCGTGTCTCGCCGCCTGTCCCGTGTCGCGCCACCTGTCCCGTGTCGCAGTGTCTGGCCAGTATCACACTGTTTGTTCTATATTGTCTGCAACTGTGGCATAAGAATTTCAGTGTGTTCCTCCAAACATGTGACAATAAAACTTGTAATAATGTAAATAATAGTAAGGAGGAATATAGTCTTTATGCTAAAAGACACAGGTCAGTGGTTGTAGTTATGAAATGAAACCAGCCCCTGAGATGGATCACAAAGGGGCAGAGGCAGTGCCACGCACCTGGCTTGTGGGGCATGATGCCGTTCATCTCGGGAGAGACCGGGACTGGCATCACGATGTTGGACAGCAGCGGGATCATGGAGGGGGGGATGCCCGGCAGCAGCTGGGTGAGGACCGTGGGGTAGCAGAGGGGCATGCTGGGATAGTGGGACCATGGGCGGAGCCCAGCATCTGGCATGGGGGGAGACGGCAGGCTGGGAGCAGCATAGATGGGGGTGTGGGGGCTGGCAGAGAGGCTCCTCTGTCCCACCGAGAGGTCCAAGGGGTCCAGCTGCGGGTCAGGGCTGCCGGGGGGGGTCACATTGCCCCTGAAGTTGGGGTAGAAGTCAGCAGGGATGTGCTTGGTTTGCAGGGGGGAGACCTTGTTCGGGGGGATCATCGGAAATGACTGGAACATCAGCTGATGGAAAGGAGCCGGGGGTGGGAGACAAGGGAGGGGTCATCTAGGTTCATGGTGAGCAGTTACATGTAATTAAGGCTCGTTTCAGTGACATGCTAATTTTATTTCCTGGTGCCACATTAGTCTGATCTTAGTCATGTGTTTGTCGTCCGTTCAGGCATTTTTCTTCATTATTTCATCACACCTCTTTTGTTTTTGTTTCTCCTAGATGATCCGTTTATCGGAATCCTATTTTTGTCAGGGACAGTCCGGCCCCCGCCGTCCCCGACATGCCCACCCCCCTCTGTAGCTGAGGCTAACGAGAGGCCAAGGTGACCCCACACCCCTCGTCACTCACCGAGTCCATAGCGCCGCCACCGATCACGGAGTAGTCATACATGAGCATGTTCGCCGGGTGGGGGGGGGCCTGCAGGAGGGAGGGCACACCTACAGATGCTCTTTCTGGGGGAAGACATGGCGCAAACCAGTTAAACGCTGATCAAATCGGCGTAAATCTCAGAATGCTCATTTCTACAGACAAGTTAACATGTCTTTAAAACCATAATTTTGCAAAAAAAACACACATTATCATAGTATTCATCCTCATTTTGGTTATTCATGTTTATTTAATATCACTGGAAAGATCTGAAGACTCTGACTTAAATCTAACAGGAAGATTACACCAGTCACCCTACATTAAGCTTTGCATACAGACATATTTTCTTTGCTCTAATCTTAACTGGTTCCCACACAGTTTCCAGTTTTGGCCTTATCAGGGGTGGTAATCCCAGGTGAATGGAGTCCTTTTGAGAGCCTTAGACCAATGTTCCCCAACCCAGCCCTCGGGGAACCTCGGACAGTCCACGTTTTTGGTCCCTCCCTGCTCCCAGCCAATCAGAAACACCGAATACCTAGTACAGGTGTGCTGGGAGCTGAGAGAAAGCAAAAACATGGACTGTCCGGGGTTCCCCGAGGACTGGGTCGAGAAACACTGCCTTAGACCACGCTCTGCCTCAAATATTCCTGCTAGTCAGTAAAATGAGCTGTGTATAGAGTTACAGAACATTAAAACTTCAGAGGTACATAATGCTATCTTAGGATAAGAGCTCAAAACTGAATTTTTCTTCATCAGTGTCCACTGGAAAATGGCCTCGTGATGACAGTGACCTGCATAACTGCACAGGTTTGCACAGCCACCTTGCTGAGTGATTCACAGCCAGCAGTTATGTGACACACATTCAGGAAGCGGTCCCTCTAGAGTAAACACGGCTGTGTGTTTCCAGCGATCCACCCCCATAATTATCTGGAATTTCACGAGTACCCGGCTTCGAGCGTACAAGCCAATCAGAAGGGTCCGTGTTCTAGCTGTCTATCAATGCACTTCCAAGGTGCCCGGGGGCTCTTCAGTTTCACTCAAAGCACAGACCCTGATATTAACCTGCCCAAGGCCGCCTCATTCATTCTAAATTCCTCCGGCTGGAGATCTACGTTTTATCTGGTCTTAAAACTTATCTTTTTAACAGAGCTTTTCGGGTCGAATTAATTTTGTAGCACTTTGAAATTTGCTTTCAAATATAAAGTGCTTTATAAATTAAATGTATTATTATTTGCTCAGTGGACACTTTTATCCGAAATTGTAACTGGGGGTTAAGGGTCTTGCACAGATGCCCAACACTGACATCACATTAACAACCCTAGGATTTGAACCTGGAACCTTCCGGTCACAGACAGCCTAACCCGCTGAGTCAGACGGCGCCCCTCACGAGGCTATAGCACATTGTTTCTTCCCATCCCTAACCTCACGCCATAACAGACCTGCTTGCTTTTTTTGGGCGGTGGGGAGAGGGCAAAGGTCACGCTACTTAATAATTAACAAATTAAGGAATAATCTCGGAACACACAGCCCTACGGAGGTGAGTGATGTTTCGGTAAGGGAGAGGTGGGCAGCAGCTAGCTCTCAGCTAATGCCCGAGACCGTCACCCGGCCCACTAACGGAAGATCTAACGTACATGCAGGAAAAAACATACGGCAAGATGAATCCAGCCACAGACGGCGAGTGACTGCTGTGTTATGTAATTGCTGGCTTGTTCTTTTTTTTAAAGATACTGTACTGTGTTAAATTTACATAAATCTTTCTGGAACACTAAAGTGTACATTTACTAATAGTGACTAATTAAATCATACACTGTTTATTTCTTAACATTTAACATGGTGTGATTGAGTATATGAAATGACAAACAGTTCAGTTTGGCTTGACACTCGGCAGCTGAGTGAACGTAACTGACGCTTTAAACTAACCCCCCCCCCCCCCCCCCCCCGAAACACAAGCAACAGGGAGGCTGACAGCTAATGAGCTCGACTCATGAGATGCGTGGCAAGGAACTTTATACAAAACTAATTTTATGAGGGAAATCACTCTAAGCAATAAAACATACAGTAATACAGATACTCCTCATTCAACGACCTACATGTTTAACGACCGACTCTCCGGCCTGTCAGCATCGTGCGCGGTACGAGGCAAAGGTGACATTAAAACACTATCTAAAGACGGCTGACACAGACCCCCTACCAGTACACTGAGTACAGTCTGCCTGAAATATCGACAAGGGGCGGCTCCTCGCTTATCGACCAATTCGCTTGACGACCGGGTCCCAGGAACAGAACTGGGCCGTTAAGTGAGGATTGTCTATAATAAAAAAGACGTCCTGCACTTACTCCACTCCTCATATAACTAAAATATATATCTGCAGTCGTCTACATATTTAGAATCCCAGGAGGAAATTCATGTGCGTGCAGTAGCGCGGTAAGTAAAGCAGAGAACAACATACATATAGGGCAAAACAATACAACTAATTAAATATAATTAATAAAAAAAAGTAATGTAATAAATAAAA